GCGCTGCCAGATTGGTACAGTGCTCCCAGGACAAGTGTCATTCAACCGCACTAGTCAACACAGTGTTATTACGTGAAGATGCGGGACTTTAGTGCTGTCTACAGGTGTAGTAACGAGCAAATAAAGAAAACAAAGCACAAAGGCAGAAAATTTCATAGCTAATATCAAGTTTTTTTCTGTTTTTGAATGTTCTGAACTTTTGTGCTAATCAGGTAACGTTATTGATGATAACAGTCACTTACTGCATTCACCATACGGCAAAGCAGCTCCAACTCACACTGAATACTCGGCTTAAGCTAGTTTTGTTGAATAAAATCAGCAAACAATGCAAAAGAAATATGACAACGAGATGCTGCGCTGCCAGAAACTTGTATTATTGTCAGCTGTTGTCACTAATCGCTTCCTCCGTCAGTATGAGAAGTGAAAGCGGGAGAGGAGGTGTGTTTCAGGACATGATCAGATCAAATTTAACAGGGAGGGTGAATAGTACATTTCTGTACACACAAACACAAGCTTTTTGTCAGGAATGCCCGTGCGGTCACTGATCCATCAATGTAGAAAAGTGATGTAAAATTATCATTTTCGTAATTAGAAAAAAAATAAATAAATACTAACATCCAGGAAAACTCCCGATCATAGATAAATGTGTATATGTGTATATCTCTGGCTTTGGATGGCCACAGTCCTCCACTCTACCTTGATCCTGCATTCATTTCAAAGGAGCACTACCCTGTAGCAAGATGGCGGCGCTATTGACGCATTCCGTCCAATAGACAACAATAGGCCAGGCGACATCTAATGTATATATCTATGTCACCTAAACATCAGCCATTTTGAAACATTAAGTCGATGCTGACAGCCACACGGTCTCTCAGATCTTCATCTGTCTATTAATTTTGTATTTTCTTATAGAAGCTTTGTCTGTAAGTATTGAAATATTTCATAAGGATTTTATGTGCATTACAAATTAATATTGGGGACCTATTTCATGCTAAACTTTACTTAGTAAGACTGCTTTAGATCAGCAGTTCATGCATCCACATCATCATGCTGTTACTGTATGTGCGTTTCTTTCGATTGTACAGTAATATTTCTTAAATTCTCATTTTGTTATGTTTGTTTTCCCTCTGTATTTCAGTTTTACTCTGTTCCATATACACCGGAAGTGGTGGTCGCAATAAATCCATTCTCCAGTTCAATATATCAGTGGAGGGAGTTGTCTATCTGTCTAGTTGAAGAAGGGACTTTTACGAGAGCAGGGTAGTAATCATCATGTCATTCGTTCTCACACGCACCTCAGAGCATTCAACATAGTACGCTGTGCTATTTTTTTATTTGAAAAAAGCTGCACCACCACACAAAAACAGACGTCATTTCCATGTTTACAATATATTTTTTGCAGATCTATTCGTCACCTATGGTTAATTTCATCAACAAATGAAGTTGCTAAAGGAATATTTCCAGGGTTCAAAGACATTTTGACACGTTGAGGCTTCTAACAAACAGATCCATTTCATAAGACACATTTTAAATGAACAGTTTAACAGCCTAAATAATCAAGCTTCGTTTTAACTGATATGAAAAATGACAAAAAGTTTAATGTATACAAGGGCTTCTGCACTCAGTTCCTGAAGGCCCGCAGCCATGCAGTTTAGTTTTTAACCCTGCTTCAACACTCTTAACTGTGTGTTTCAGACAAGCCTGAAGAAGTGAATTAGTTTGATCAGGTGTGTTATATTAGGGTTAAAAGGTTAAACTGTGCAGAGCTGCAGGTTTGACACCTGTGGTATAAAGTATAATGCCGCGGTCACACTAGAGTTTGAGCATGCAAAATTTTGTCGAAAGGTGCTGTGAAAAGGGCATTAAGGGTGCTCTCACACCTGTGAATCGATTCAGTTGTTCTGAAACAAAGATTACAATTGTTACATTGTTGCTATTTGCTCTTGGTGCAGTTCGCTTTCACACCGCAAAGTTTCTAAACAGACCAAAACGAGCTAAAACAAGTCACGTGTAAGTGGTGGTTTGGTGATGTTTGACAAGGTGCGCGACATGTCTGAAGAGCAAGAAGGGATGCGTTGGGGAGGGGTGAGAAGGGTGCTTGACATATTTGAGGAGCGGTAGAGAGACGCACGATTTCAGGGAGATTATCACACGTTTGTGGGCATCCGGGAGTCTCTGTGCATTTGCGAAAGACTCCTGAAACTTTCAGGAGACTTGGCATGTCTGTAATGACCTCCCGCCCTACTCATAATTCCCTCTTCATATAGCCGTATGCAGATTACATATCCATAAAACACTGTGATAAAGCTGGGCTCGGATTGCATCGCTTTCTAACTATAAATAATGCGCTCCGAAGTTCGTTTCAATCGAGCCGAGACCGCCTCTATCAAGCGATCTCAGAGCGACTGATTTGGCGCAGATGCGAGCGCAATTGGTGGATTTACATATGCCAAACGAAAATCGCTAACTGGGCAAACGAGACAGGTTCCGAAACAAAAGTCTAGGTGTGAAAGCACCCTTAGATTTAGGTTGCCAGCATCTAAGGAAAAGTGTTGTTTATTTATAAACTAATTTCGAGAGGATCCCATGCTTATTATATCCTCATTAGCTCTGTAATCTGCTCTATTAGAGGATTACGGAATCATTATAAATAAGTTTTTCACTCCAGTTATCTTCGTCTTAAAGTTTCCCCCCTTCCACCTCCACTTTTTCTATAGGGCGACACGGTGGCCCAGTGGCTAGCACTGTCGCCTCACAGCAAGAACACTGCTGGTCCAACCTCCTATCCGGCAAGTTGCCGTTCCTGTGCGGAGTTTCTATGTTCTCCCTGTGTTTGCGTGGGTTTCCAAAAACCACCGTCCAAAAACATACACCATAGCCAATCGGCTTAACCAAATTATCACCCAAGATAAACTTAGTTTACACTTCTCACACAGCGACAAGCAGGGAAGTTCTCGAGACCTAACTGAGCTCGAACTCCCCTTTCGTCCTTCTAATGGGAGGGAGCCTCGAGCTTGAGGAAATTACGAGCTTACGGCTCTCTCTCGGGACAGCATGCCAATTATGCTTTATTGATTATCAGCTAAGTGTGAACTCTTGAATTTTATTTGACGTCCAATAATGATGTGAAATGACTTTAATATTTTGTGGATTTTAGGTTTTATTGGAAAGTGGCCAAAATCTAACGTCGAGCCTGTCACATTAAGACATTTATTCATCAGGTCTGGCAACCATAGTCCAGCGTCTGATAGACATCATATTGGTAACGTCCACACAACATCAAGCTATATAGATTTTCAGTGGGCGAAAGTTCGATACGTCTCTAATATTAACATTGCAGCACATTTCTGATGTGTGATTGACTCTTAGATCGTTATAGAGGACAAAAATCCAGTCATTATCATTGTTATTGTCATCAACCTTATCGCAATTTGATAAAAAATTGTTTATCGGCTCAGCCCTACATTGGGGTACAACCTCAATCTTACATCATGTTGACATCCTGTGCCTGCTGGGTAAACAAGCGAGTGATTGGCCTATATTTTAAATTTCTGTTGAGAGGTCATGTTTTTGATCTTCTGTTGGTCTCACGCAATCACTCGATGCATTTTCGCAGGTCATAGTTCACCAAGCTTGAAACTTGTCGCACAAGCTTGCGATTTCTTGTGATTCATTCGCATGTGTATTAATGGAAGCCTATGGGGCGAAAAGTACAGTGTGACCACGGCTTAACATAGCATTTTTTCATATGAATCAAATGGTATTTTATGAATACACATTTCCACCATGGGATAATTAATAAACAAACAAATAAATATGATATTTGATCTCCCAATTCAGATTTGTTTTGCAATTCAGGTGTTAAATAAACCAGCTGATCAACGAGATAAAAATTACAACTGCATTATATAACAGTGAGAAACGCATGAGTTGGTATTGTGAAAATCGAAAGAAATCTTTAAGAAAAAGCGGTGCAGAAGTCATATCAAAACCCTCAATACCTTTGTTTTTATTTGCATCAGGTGTTTTTTTCTTATTTTTCGAATAAAATATGTAAATAAACCTTGTCAATACTTCAAAGTTTTGCTTGGAAATGTAAATTAATTTAAAGTTTAAAAATGTTAAAGTAATTTGTTTTACTATTAAACAATTTTCATTCAGCTTAGTCCCTTATTTATCAGGGGTCACCACAGCGGAAGGAACCGCCAACTATTCCAGCATATATTTTATCAACCCAGTACTAGAAACCATACACTCTTGCATTCACCAAATGTACCTATAGTGCATGTCTTTGGACTGTGGGGGAAGCCGGAGCACTCAGAGGAAACCCACAAGCACACGGGAAGAACATGTAAAAGCCACACAGAAATGCTAACTGATCAAGGGATCCTCAAGCGCGGGCTTTCTCCAGTTTGCTGAGCGAGAGGGGAGCTTGAGCTCGGTGGATATCAGAACTCTCTGGCTGCGGTAGCTAAGGAAACATGTGAGAAAAGGGGCTAGACAAGTGCTTGATTGTTATGCATGATGTATATCTTTGGATGGTATGAGGAAACCGGAGAACCCAGGGAAAACCCACATGGACAAGGGGAGAATATACAAACTCCTCACAGAAACACCTACTTGCCTGGCGGGACCAGGGCCGGCAGTGTTCTTGCTGTGGGGCTCACAGTGATAACCACTGGGTCGCCGTGGCGCCCGATCAATGGTAAAGGAAGAGAATTGGGGAGGAAGAGGGCTTTCTTTCGGATGAAGATAAAGTGGACTGAAAACTGGTTATTTATAGTAGCTTAGGGCTCATATGATTGGAAGATAATTATTAACTAATACGAGACCGGCCGTGATAAATCATAAGCATGTGATCCTCTCGAAATTAATTTATAAATAAACCTCACTGATTACTCGGAGATCACAAACATGTGCAAAAGTTTAGCAAAACCAGGGCAAAAAAATAGACTAGTTCCCAAAATGAATGCTCCAAAGAAAGCAGAACAAATGTCTGTAGCTACATAAAATCTGTTTAGTTTTTTTTTATCCCATGGTGGAAAACAGCATTACAGATAAATAAAACCACACATATTTCAGTTACACACAAACACATGCATACACAGACAGAACAGATTCGAGAAAGTGAGAAGTCATTTGGTTCCGCAGATGTCATCATGAGAGCTCTATGTTTTTCAGTGAGTCTATGTTTGTGTTTCTGTGTCCCTGTTGTCTCAGTGCTCCCACAAGGATGAGGCATTCACACTGAGACCGTCACCCATTAGCGTTCCTCCTTGATCGCCACGCAGGTACTTGCCGTTCTGGGCCTTGATGCCAACCCGACCATACTCCACAAACTCAAAGAAGAAATCTTCAGGCTTGTCCCCATCTGTGCACACCAGACCACTGCTGGAGACGTACCAGAACTTCTGATTTCCACCTGTGCCAGAGAACACAATTAGATATGATACTGGGAAAAAAATCTTACAGGCCACTCATATTTTCAGATATGAAAAACAGGGTTTGAGGAGTCACGAAAAACTTAAAGTTGTACAATTTTTAAAAAAATATACATTTCAAACTCCAAACTCAATATAATTTTAAAACAATTTGGAATTGAAACCTCCTTACTCTGGTTTACCGAGTTGTGGCTGGAAAGGCATTTGCTGCATTAAACATATGCCAGAATAGTTGACGCATACCTGCCAACATTTGGTTCATAAAATCCGGGAGACTGGGGGTGGGAAGAGGGGTTGGGTGTGCATGCGTAGAGAAGAGGGGGGCGCAGTTATGGAGATGGTTGCACGTTTGTTTTGGTGCACATGGGGGAGGGGAGGGTGGGGTGTTCCGGGAGTTTTTCCAGAGACAGAACAAAACGGGAGATGGGGCTAAAATACGGGACACTACCTGGAAAAACGGGAGTGTTGGCAGGTATGAGTTGAAGGTTTATTCTGCTGTCTCTGTTGAGACCTGTCTTTTTCAATCCTTGTGCAGGTGGGGCTACCTTGCTGACCAGTTTAACGCTAGTGAATTAGACCAGGGGCGTCCAAACTCGGTCCTGGAAGTCCAGCTCCGATCCCAACCTGACACATCTAAGCAAGCTAAGCAAGCTCTACTACATAGCAAGGTATACTACAAACTTCCTGGAAGGTTTAAGTTGAAGCAAGTTGGAGCCAAACCCTCCAGGACACCAGCTTGTCAGGATCGGGCCCGGGCAACCTTGCAACAGACTATGGCTGTTTCTCAATTCCAAGAACGCAGAGAACGGACTTGTGTTCTTGTGGAGAGCGGTCTTGCCAGGTGTCCTCGGAAGAACGAACTCAGGAGACCGCGAGGGCAGAGAACGCGTCCTTTGAGAATTGAGATGCTGTGTTCTTCCTGATGGTCACATGACCTTCACGTGTTTTAAATGGTAAATTATTGAAACATTACAGCACTCATACAATGATTTATTGTTTTTCCCCTTTTAAAAATATATACTTTGCATAAAAACATTATAAATATACACCGCACAATATAAATAAAACAGATTTTAATACGAATTTCAGCAAACAAACACCCTTAATCTGTTTATTCCTTTATTAAGGTGTCCATGGTAATGTTTACTTTCACAGTTTCATTTAGGGAAACTCCTGAGGTAAATAATTCATATCTATGAACTTTAATAATAAATCTAGATAAAATGCTGCACTTCCCACCTCCAGTAGCAATGACTTCTGGGACTTCCAGAGCGAGTTCGGTGCTCAAGTCTGCATCGGTGCGTCCTCGATATCAAGAACACATCCGGGAAGTTTCACGGGTCCTCCATACTTGCGGTCTTGAGTATTGGAACTGAACTTAGGCAGCTGTTGATGACGTTTCACGAGAACACAAGGACACAAGACCACTGAAAAACGCACATTGAGAAACAGCCTATGTATGCCTGGGCTACCTTGCTAAGTGGCTTAACACTAGTGAACTACACAATGTGTGGGCCTTGGCTGGTTTACCAATCAGCTTAATACCAGTGAGCAAGACAATGTGTGAGCCTTGGCTACTGTTGGAAAACATTATAAAAATGAGAGCCCAGTCCAGGAGACTAGAAGAAGCAGAATTTCTTTATTGAGACATGTTGGTTAGTCTGCAGTCATATTGCGTCTTCAAGACGTCTACAAGAAAAGAGGTGTCTCTTACCAGTTTGCAGTCTGCAAGTTTATCAAAAGTCTAGGGCACAATCCCAATTCTATTTTGTAGCCCTACCCCTTCCCCTTGGCCCTTGAAACAAAGTGTGAAGGGGAAGGGGTTCAAAACTTACCCCTAAGAAATAGGACAGCACTACAGCACCTGGCTGCAAACGTCATCATATATCATCGCGATCTCTTGCTTCATATGAGATTTACGATGATGACTGCTGTAGTTATTCCAGTTGTGTTATTTTTTGGTATTTAGCTTCAAAAAATCAGTGAAGGCATATATTATGTTCTGACAATATAATGTGGCAGTAAGATCGTAACTACACTGTGTATTTACATCATGGCCATATTCATTTATTTAAACAAACAAAAAACAACGTTAACATTATAGCAGACACTGTAAAAAGCTCATTCCCTGCCAGTAGACTTTTTTGACAGGGTGTTCAAGTGTCATCGAGTGTTGTGGGACTGCTGTACAGGAGTTATCATTAGGGAATATAGATAGCCAAATTTAGCGGGTTTTATTTTTGGCGTTTTTTTTTTTAAGCATGACGGTAAAACACGAACGCGTTTATGAATATATTAAAACATGTGCTTGTTTGTTGTAGAAACTCATAATAATGACAAAAAATACCAGTTTGTGCATCTCTTTCCTTTCGGGTGCAGCTATCCTGCCATTGTCGCTGGTGTATTCTGGGAAATTTTCTTACCCCTTTGTTTTGAGACTGGTCCTGAAAAATCTCTGTCCGAAGAGGTATCTAGCACTTTCCCACACGCCCCCATCCTGAATGTAACCCCAAACCATGATTTTTCCTTCACCAAACTTGACTGATTTCTGTGAGAATCTTGGGTCCATGCGGGTTCCAGTAGGTCTTCTGCAGTATTTGTGATGATTGGAATGCAGTTCAACAGATGATTCATTGGAAATGTCTACCTTCTGCCACTTTCCCGAATGATCAACTAGAAGTCAACTTATTATTTGTAGCTCTTACAACTCGGATTGACGACAAGACTTTATTCAGGTAGTGTATTTATGTTACACAGTCAAGGGTCAAGAGCCTAACTAAAGTAAACATTAACCTCCAAAACAGTAAGTTCAAGCTAAATAAAACACACAGTACTGTAATATCCAGAGTAGAAGAGTGTGGGTTCCACCTCAGTCAAAGCTCAACCAATAGAAATATAACTCACTTTTTATTTGGTATCCGCCATCGCTGAAAAGCAGTGTGAAGATGTCGTAAAAGGAGCGACTGCCGTGCAGGGTGTTGGAGTTTTTGTGGTGACACACAAAGCCATTTTCTCCACGCAGGACCAGGATGGGACGATTGATGAGCTTCAGCACAAACTGCTCATCTTCTCCTGTCGAGGACATAAGTGTTATTATTTGCCTGTCATTGTGTGTGTATCTGATCCTGATGAATGCGTTTGTACTCACCCAATGAGTCGCTCACTGCAGCCAGCTGGCCGTTTTTCTTTGTGCACACATATTTCCCATTGCTTGCCTTCAAAGCGATTCGTCGACCCAACCACTCGATGTCGAACATGGTGTTTTCTTCTCTACCAATTAGGAGAACACACATTTAATTTGTTTATTTAGGTGGGTTTGATTTTGCCAAGTAGGATGCGATCCTGGATTAACAACGATATTGATCCTGGAACATTATTTTATTTATAAATATAATCCATACCTATACCCTACCCCTCATGTAGATGCACATAATCCTAACTATTTAAAGAGCCCCTATTATACATTAAAAAGGGTCATATTTTGGTTGTAAGGGTCTCCAACAACAGTCTAATATGCATGCAAGGTCAAAAAACCCTTTCATTGTCTTATGCATTTATTTTTTTACCTAATTATCCCAGCGACTCCCATATGAATCCTTTAGTGATTCATTTGTTCCCAAACCCCTTTTTAGTGCAAAGCTAATCTGCGCCGATTAGACCGATGACAGCTTGTTGCGATTGGTCGACAGCGTTCAGCGCGAGACAGTGATGATATGCCGTGCTGGACATAGGCAGAGTGTATGTTGTGAGCATACCTGCCTACACGGGTAGTCTCCCGTATTTCAGACCCATCTCCAGCCACCCACCCATTTTGTTATTTTTCCTGGAAAACTCCCATAATTTCAACCCCCCCACCCCACCAGTATGTGAAACCCCCAGGTCGCCAACATTGGTATAGGATCAGATCATAGCGGCCGCCCGAAACACGCTTCATAGTAGTCACTAACACCACAGTAAACAGTACCCGGTTCTCAACAGTGTTATTCGGACACCTCACCCCCGAACCTAACACCCCTGGGGCCTCATGTACGAAGACTTGCGTGGAAAGAATACTAAAACATTGCGTACGCACAAAGTTGTAAATGTGCGTACGCAGAAAAAATTCAGATGTATGAAACACTGAGTACGCCGAATCTCACGCATATTCTTTTGTACATCCGAATGAACGTGAAACTGAGCGCAACATGCACGAGCACAAAACCCCTCCCTGCCTCCTCCCCCGTATGAATATGCAAATGACTCTACTTTGGCAAAACCCAACGAAAAAGCAAAGGCAAAAGCAAGCAAGAAGCGAAACTTTCAACAGAATGTGAATTTTAGGTGCCCCTTTCGGAGGTAGACCGGAGAAAATCGGTGTTATTTGCTAGTTTGTTCTCCGGAATTAACAACAAAAGAAAAAAATAGAGTGGGAGAGTTTAGCTGATGCGGTTAACACAGTTGGGTCTGAACATCGCACTGAGTAAATTAGAAAAGAAATAGTGTGGTTTATAGGTGTAAAATGTTGCAGCACCCTTAACAGTCTCAGTGGCGCAGCTAGTAAGACGCAGGTCAACATGTTTTGACACATTCGAGCATGAACTCGGTTCGAATCCAGCATCTTATGAACTCTTTCTTCTTTTTTCCCTCCGCTACATATCAGATTTTGCCAACTATTTATCACGAGAAAGACAAGTAGGAATCATTAATAAGTTTGTGCATTATATTTTATTTGCACATTTATTGAATGGAAATGTTTCTGATTCATGCATGCAAATTCATCTTCAGATGGTGCCTTGATAGAAATGTGCGTGCAGTAGATAGCTCAGATTACATTGGGAAAACAGGCGACCGCTGCAAATTGTGCTTTAATGTTTAGCTGGTCAACTGTATGGTATGGAAACCTTATATACCTGCTAGATGAACCCGTCTCAAGGCTCAGACACTTTGTAGAGAGCAATTTAACACAACTGCCTCTAGGAGTCGCCAAAGGAAATAAAACAGACACGCACAAAAAATGTGCATACGCCAGGCATAAAGCAGCCATGGAGCTGCGCACATTCCCACGTTCAGTTCATCTTTAGTACATCCAAACGTGAGTGATTCTGAGTGTGAAACCTGGCGTACGCAAAGTTTTTGTGCGTTCGCAGCGTTGATACATGAGGCCCCTGGTCTCCCGGATTTTCAGGGACAAATGTTGGCAGCTATTTGTGTGAGCCCAATGCAGGAGTGCATTAGCATGCACTTGACTCGATTTAAGTAGAGTAAACTCAAAAATTGCCTTAAAATCTTAAGTTGAGTCAACTATTATTTTAAAGTTGTTCATGATTATCAAGCTTCAACAATCACATTTTGAAAGAAATATGAAACATGCATTAGTTCAACCAACATGCTCTTACATTTCCGTGGCCGAGGACAGAATCCCTCCATGAGTTACAAGAGTCCAGTAGTTTCCACCATTGGTTCTGAACATGCACTTCTTCGTCTCTTTGTCGATTTCCATCTGAAATGTCTCCATGTCCGTCTCATCGTCCTGATTAGCTGAGATGCAAACTCCTGGAAAAAGAAATTCACCATGACAGCTTGAGACTTCAATTAATAGTTAACTCAAGAATGAAAATTCTGTCATCATTAGCTCCTCTACTTCTTCCAACCCTGTTTGATTGACTTTCTTTTATTGAACACAAAATAATATATACTTTGAAATGCTGGAATAAAACAGCCTTCGACTTTGATATTATATACAGTTGAAGTCAGAATTATTAGCCCCCCTTTGAATTTATTTTTCTTTTTTTTTATATTTCCCAAATTATGTTTAACAGAGCAAGGAAAGTATCACAGTATGTCTGATAATACATTTTCTTCTAGAGAAAGTCTTATTTGTTTTATTTCAGCTAGAATAAAAGCATAGATATATACACTAGATATCGCATAGGGACCCTGAGCATGCGTCAATAGCGCCGCCACATTGGTACAGTGCTCCCAGGACAAATGTCATTCAACCGCACTAGTCAACACAGTGTTATTACGTGAAGATGCGGGACTTTAGCGATGTCTACGGGCGTAGTAGCGAGCAAACAAAGAAAACAAAGCACAAAGGCAGAACATTTCATAGCTAATATCAAGTTTTTTTCTGTTTTTGTATGTTCTGAACTTTTGTGCTAATCAGGTAACGTTATTGATGATACAGTCACTTACTGCATTCACCATAAGGGATAGTAGCACCAACTCACACTAAACACTCGGCTTATGCTAGTTTTGTTGAATAAAATCAGCAAACAATGCAAAAGAAATATGACAACGAGATGCTGCGCTGCCAGAAACTTGTATTATTGTCGGCTAATGTTAGTGAAAGAGCCGTTCGGGGGATTCATTCACAAACTAATCGCTCCCTCCGTCAGTATGAGAAGTGAAAGCAGGAGAGGAGGTGTGTTTTAGGACACGGATAAGATTCAATTTAACAGGGAGGGTGAATAGTACATTTCTGTACACACAAACACAAGCTTTTTGTCAGGAATGCCCGTGCGGTCACTGATCCATCAATGTAGAAAAGTGATGTAAAATTATCATTTTCGTAATTAGAAAAAAATAAATAAATACTAACATCCAGGAAAACTCCCGATCATAGATATATGTGTATATGTGTATATCTCTGGCTTTGGATGGCCACAGTCCTCCACTGTACCTTGGTCCCGCATTCATTTCAAAGGAGCGCTACCCTGTAGCAAGATGGCGGTGCTATTGACGCATTCCGTCCAATAGACAACAATAGGCCAGGCGACATCTAATGTATATATCTATGGAATAAAAGCAGTTTTAATTTTTAAAAAACATTTTAAGATCAAAATTATTAGCCCCTTTAGGCTTTATATATTTTTTCAATAGTCTACAGAACAAATCATCATTATACCATAACTTGCCTAATTACCCTAACCTGCCTAGTTCACCTAGTTAAGCCTTTAAAAGCCACTTTAGGCTGTATTGAACTGTCTTGAAAAATTTCTAGTCAAATATTATTTGCAGTCATAATGACAAAGATAAAATAAATCCGTTATTAGAGATGAGTTATTAAAACTATTATGTTTATAATTGTGTTAAAAAAATCTGCTCTCTGTTAAATAGAAATTGGAAAAAGAAATATACAAGGGGGTCAGAATATTTTTGTTTGTCTGTAGTTCTGCCGAGCGACTAAAAAGTGATCAGCATGATGGTAAAAAACTGTACATTTCTAGTCAAACCATTCTTCTGCAATCTCATACCAAAAACGGAAATAAGGGCAGTATTAATAGCTATAAATGTGGGAGAGCGTTGATATTATGTGATTGTACTGTATTGCTATATGGAACAATTAAGTGTTGATGTTAAATCAAAAGTAATTCACAAATACTTGAAAATGAAATGATTTAATGACAATAATTCTCCATGGTTACAACTGAATTAATAACAAAATACTGTATAAAATGATAAAATATGAAATGATAAAACATATGGTATAAATTGTACCCAGCTTAAAAGTAAAATTAAAGTTACCAGAGGTAGAAGGAGAGACACGGGGGGAAGGAGAGAGAGACAAAGAGAGCAGGCCCAAAAGCCTGATTGCAGTAGAGTCAGAGAAGATAGACTCCAGAGGAGGAGAGGAGCAGAGCAGGAGAGAAGCAGGGCAGGAAAAGAGACAGAGCTCGAGTTTACCACCTATCTTGTATCTTTCTTGACCATGTGACTAAAGCCATTCAAGACATTCAAACTGACCAATCAACATGTGACCACACCATAAAACCATAAGTCCACACAACAGGCCCTGATCTTGTCAGTATCTGCCTTTGTATTCAGTATGGACCTTCTTGAGTCACAAAGCATGTTTTGTCATATAAACAAATGCATATGATGATTTAGCCTCTTACATAAGTGTTGAGGATATTTTTGTTTTTGGGAGAACTGTCCCTTTAACACGTCTCTACAAAATTACATAAGCAAACAGTACAGCTTATACAGAATTTTGGCAGCAGTTTGGCTCGGTCCTCAAAGTGACTATACTCACAAAAGACTCGACTCAAGTCATTTATTTATAACACTTTATACCATGCAGTTTGTCAAACCAGCTGATAATATATATGCTGTAACCAATGTAATCACTACTCTCTCTTTCAGCTCACTTGCACCTACTGAGAATCCACTTATAAGTACCGTTCAGTTACCACAGTTGTTCAAAGGCTCTTTCATGTAGTCAACAACAGTATGTTAAATTCTGCACAGCGTAATAGCTGCGTCCCAAATGGCACACTATACACTATGTGCACTGCTTATGCACCTACACACTTAACAGCATAGGCCCCGTTTACACTAATGCGTTTTAGTTTGAAAACGCACAAGTTTTGCTACGGTTACGCCAACCGTCCACACTACGCCGGAGTTCTCGAGCGCCAAAAACGGAGCGTTTCGAAAACGCTGGAGAGGTTGTTTTCATTCTGAAACGCTGCTGCTCCGTCTCAGTGTGGATGATGGAAAACGGAGACATCTGAAAACGGAGGCGGGGCTGCTGACATTCGCCTCTCTGATTGGGGCTTTTCCTGAATATTAAGTAGCCTAACACACACAGTTCAGTCCTGCATTTTCTCCTTGTAAGTTCAGACTTCGCAAGTTTGATCAAGGCTGCAGTCTCTTCTTCTCAGTTTGATATGGAAAACAGACTATACCGAGGACACGGGTAAATCTTCAAACTTTATAACTTCATTCACATCACCCTGGCTACGTTGTTCCACTTTCTCAACAATAAAATGTAAACATGATTTAAGGAACTGCCTATCTTCATTTTGATATTAACAACTTAACAGACAGCAGAAATGTTGAGGCGTCGTGCTGCATATATGAGCGTCATCTTCACTCTGTGAATATTTATAACAAAACGGAGCCTATAACAACTGCCTCCTTTCAATTTCAGTGAAAATACGAAACACACCCTCTCTTTTGCTAAATATCAGTTTTAATAATCGATAATGGCCATTATAAAAGTATAACATACAATAAGTTTTTACATTATAGGAAATAAAGGCAAGCGATCAGTCAATATACAGAATGGGCTACGTGGTTTCATTAATCATTAACGTATCTTTGCGCTCAGCCAAAACACGTTACCTGAGAAAAAATCCAATGACCAAAGTCAGGGAATATGTCGTTAGATAAAGACAACAATATGAATGAAATATCCCGTTTAATAAATATAGTGAGATTAGATCCAGCGGGAGATGCTTGATGAGAAGTCCGACTAGCATAGCTCTCATCTGGGTAGACAGGCTGCAGCGCTTGGCAGAGAGTGTCTGTGTGGTCACGTGATGTGCGTTTTTAGCGTTTTGGTGTGGACGGAGAGCAGTTCAGAAACGCTGGGTAAAACGCGAGTGTGGACGCGGATCGTTTTCATTCTAAAACGCCGTTTTAAAACTAAAACGCACTAGTGTAAACGGGGCCATAGTGTATGTAGTGTAGTCGCAAATGAAACACTGACGTTTTATTTTACTAAGCGGAAATTCAAACTGTTTCCCTGATGATGTTTGACAGTTGCTTAATTAGTCAAATAAATGACCAAACTGTCAAATGATACCTGCCATGAATATAACCGCATTTACCATCGGGAGGCGCTATAATCACTATCGAAAGAGAATTTTACTTTTATAATCCAAAATAAACAAATTTATCCAACATATGCTCTCGATAGCTTCGCCCCTTCTGCTACAAGAGCAAAGGTGCGGTCGTTGAGTGTGTGAAGTGTCCAACACTACACATTTCATTTTACCGGTTGAATAAGTGCAGCATCCGAGTAATTAAAGTGCATTCATTGGCATAGAAAAGTGCATAAGTATGAGATTTGAGACGCAGCTATAGAGTGGAGGAACTATGACGTCAATTTGTATGCAAAAAACCCGGAAGCGAGTTAGCATTTTAGCACTTCCGGTTCCCTCGTCCCAAACTCAATGGCTTTTTTTGAATGAGGTTTCAGTAAAATCGCTTAAATAAGGTCCGTGGCAAACACCAACTCAAGATACTTTCACGTTTTGTTCTACGATATAAAACACATCAGTTACAGCACACTCTTCAACTTTTAAATCGATTATGCTTCTTTAAAAAGACTGTTGCTATCAAGTTGCTAAATGGGACTACAGGCGGCGTCGGGGACTGTATACGTCATCGAGCTGATCTGGTCTGGAGCGCGGCTCGCTTGTGTTGGGCATTTGGATTTGTCTGTGATTTAGGTATTTTCATGAAGAGTATTTTATAGTTTGTTGTATTATTCTAATTGAGAATTCAGATTGTGTGTAGATAATTCCTTCACTTATAAAGGCTGTCGAGACAGACTAATTTGTTGATCATTTATTTTAATTAAACGATAATATGAAGATACTGCTCACCAGTGCAGCAGCCTGTTTCTTTCCTGCTCTCAGTAATGAAAACGTGTGAATAAATGTGTAAAAATACAGACATATTAACTGTCATTTTAACGTGATCAAGTGATTTCTCGTCTTTTTTTCTTCATCTGAACACATTTAACTGCAGTATTTACACTC